TTAAGATGCCACCAGAGAAAATTTACGATAGTCAACCTCTATCAGTTGGTTGTCGAACATCCGCAGTGCAGTTGGATCTCCAATCCATCATTTGCAAGTCAAACTCAATACTTTCTCTGTCCGCTAACCTAAAGTGACCGCAATGAACATAAACACTCTGTGGTAGGAAGCAAATTCTTTCTGATGCTTCCCAATCGCCAATTTGCTAAACTCCATGCATTGGCGGCACCTCTAGAGACTCCGTTGCATCCTTGACCTCTGTTTGCGCATTGCCAAGGTTGGCAGACTGCACAGTTGGCAGATGGGCCTCGGGGTATCACGCTTAGAATCGGAACAAAGATAGCACAAACTGATGTTGATGAAGCGAGAATGCATGTATGGTGCAACGACATTTAATTTCTGTTCACCTGTATTGACACCTACTGAATTAGCTTTTCGATTATATATACCCAACTTTCATGGACCTATTCATGCTAGGCCGAAACAAATGTCCGAGGTTCGTATACCTCATGCGTTATGAAATAAAAAATTTCTTTCCGTATTCAGAGCAAGAATGTCAGCCAACGTGTTGTGAGACGGCTCAGCGATTGCGCTCACTCTAACCAGTCTTTCCATCTGAATGGCAACGATATGGACTGATGAGCCCATGGGGAAAATTCCGTTTGCCTTGCGCCCTTGAATTACACCTAGTTACCGTTTCCACTGGCGCCTGTGTTCATACGGACATGTTGGATTTGCAAAACTTATGCAACACACACTTCCGTATGAGTTCGGGCATCCATCTCACATCCTTTCATTAAACTACAGTCCAGTGAATCTCATGTAGTGTACCGGGAATGTGTGTTAACTGCAATGCTCATCCACAGGTGCGTTCATCATGCAACAGCACAAACATACGGTGTGTTTTGTCAATGTGGTCCGGAGCTAGGAACGGCTGCACTCAGGTGCTGACGTACAACCGGTACGCTGAATTGCTAACTGTCAACTGACATAAATTGCTTTGCCGGCAGGAGTGAGATGGGACACAGACGCCACATGTGTGCTTATGATCGCAGAGCACAAACTGTGAGAAGTGAACGTTAGCCAGACACCACAGCCGCAATGAATGCGTCATGCCTCGGCCACATAGAAAGACCTAAGGAACGCACGCCGTGCAACTGTGAGAACTGGACGTTAGCCGGACACAATATAGCCGCACTGAACGTGCCATGCTTTGATCGATCGGTGAAAAGCAGGTGAAAAGCCAGCAGGTAAAAAGCCAGCAAACGGGTTTCCTGCGAACTGTGTCCCTGTGCCAACAACTGATAAAAACAGCCTTACCGTATGTGGTGACTGGTCAATGGGCACCGTATTGCTATCGCCACAAAAGCTGTTATCGCCCCATGACTGGATTCCAACAAACCCGTAAGCTTTAATTAGGCTGCTTTAATTGCTAAAGGGAATCACACTGCTGGGAGCAAATTGTAAGGTTACAGTGTCGCTCGCTTTACCGTTTCGATCGCGCGTGTGTTACAGCTGAAAATTCACCCTTCATGGGTCCATACAAACGAATTCTTGACAACGATCTTAGATTTCAGTCTGCCACTACACAATGATGGTACCATTAGGCAGCACACGAAGTTAGCCATGAATACAACTACTGCCCTCACAGTCAGACAATTGCTAGTCGTACCAATTGATCAGGTCTTCGATGGTCTTTCCCACGTACAATCGAGAATATACATTTGTTCACAAATTCAGCTATCTTTATTTTTCGCATTCCAGTCCTTTTCCCAGAATGCGAAACTCCTATAAAGAAGTCTTGTCGAGCTGTCACATACAGCTTGGACATCAAGTATTCACCCCCCACCACCCAGGTTGGATTTGACATAGTCGCCGCAGAGTAACAAGGACAATGAAGATCCCAGGCAAACAGTGAGTTTAAGGTAACCACATTTCCACGGCATAGTCTCATAGTTCTGACCGTTGCTGTCAAACATCCTTCGCTAAGGAGAAATTGCCCGACACAGTGCATTACTCCAATAAAGCTGTTTGTATTGTGATGTATCTCTTATTATCTCACTACAGTTCATTTCGACCATCTGACGCATGAGTTCGTTCGCATGCTCGAACAAATGCGTGCTATGGAGTTCAGGGTAGGCTCCTGAATCGCCGCTTGGTCAGTGACAGGACAGCTGCCATCAGTCCTGTGTCTCTGCCAATGGACTCAGTCGAGGAGCTCCTTAGGCTTAACATGCGGCTGGAGAAACGGGAAGACATGGAGAACTTAGTAAGGACAGAATTCATGTATGATGTTTCAGACGGCCTATTTCTGGCAACTGGGCGGAAGTCCTTGACGGAATTCGTCAGGAACTTACTGTTAGCAGTCATGACGAACGCCTTTGCAAGGAAAGTGAACTGGTGAGGAGTTCACGCAAGCAACGAATTTCAAGTACGCCCTTGGCCTGTATTATTATCGATAAGTTGTGATGTTGCAAAGCATCAGTCTCAGACGCTATAATGCGGGAAAGTTGCGCCGAATGCACTGAAAGTATCATCGCCGATAAGATACACCGTTGGGTACACCGAATCAAAGAGCGAGATGATTACAAACCGAACTCGCATGTCACACTCGGTCCTAGTACAAAACCGCAGTAGTAGTGCCCTTCATTACAATTTCTTTAACCTTCTGGTATTCTAGTATAACAACTTGTGGGGGTATATTACTTCCTTTTACAGCGACGTAAAACAGCTTCTAGCGTGCGTGAAAATTTGGTACAACTAATGCAAATAGCCCCACAGTTGGGTCAATGTCCGAGTTATACATCCCTCACGAACGTGTTCGTGCTACAGCGGAGCGTGTGTAATGCACAATGAAGGACCAGGAGTTGCAGTACGATAGTGGAATATGTGGTTCCTGAGCTCGATACTTTTATACGTGGTAATAATTTAGGGCGCCTAGGAGTGTGCACGTGCACACCCCTGTAGGGATAGTGGAATTGCATTAAAAGCGATGGAAATTAGTTAACCATGAATTAGGGAAGGCTGCTGCTATTTTTTGCTGAGCGCTCGAATTTAGTCTCATTTGGGATGAAATTCGGGCGCTCAGTATAATATTGCAGCCGCAACCACCCATTTATGTGTACCTATTTTCCACTACTTTTAATGTGCTACTAAGACCTCTGAATGGATGTGCATGAACAATCACTTGCACACCGTTTGGGACTAAATTCGGGCGCTCAGAAAGATATCGCCGCAGCATCCCCCATCTGGGGATAACAATTTTCCCTTATTTGTAACACATCTTGGACTACCACTACAGGTATGCATACGAACGTATTCTTCGACGCATTAAATTACTCTTATACAGAGAAATATGCAGTTCTTTCTAAGCACAGATAATATATATCCAAGCGGTTTGTGTCAAACGCACTATACTTTCCACTGATTTGACTGCTGACTAACAACTTGTTCATGAAGGACTGAATGATGCAACAATACCTTATATACTACTGGCAGAATGTCCTGAATATTATGACTGTTGTCGTGATCCAGAAGGCGTATATGCAACTGGCTAACACTCATCATCCGTTTGAATTCGTATAGTAGGGGAGATTTCGCTAGAGTTTCATGGAACATACTTTAAAGCACTCAAATTTTCTTGATCCGAAAAGTTGTGCACTACACTGTTCCGAATGTGGAATCTCTCTAACCCAAGCTGACTTATTCAACACCAGTCTAGTAAGCAAATGAAGGGGTTAGTTTAACTCTCCTCCACTGGAATGAGCGTCATTCAACGGGCCGAGCTTCTGTGAGATGGACAAACCATGGAATATATATCACGTTAAGAAGGAGGGTAAGGGTATTGGGGAGATACTGAGATGGCCTGGCTTATAGTCATTCATGCGATGGTAGTAGAGGTATTAATATAAGTTTACAAGCATAGTACCACAAGTAGAACAAGTCAAACAGTGACCAACTTTCGCATAAGGACAGGGTAACGAATTTGCCTTTCCGAGGCTTATTGGAAATGGGCACAACTTCCGCCTGATTATAGTCTATGTGATTGGGTGTGGTTGGAATGCACGTCAGTTATCCTGTGAACAATAATCTACCCAGAGCGTTCCTAATTCTGGTCTGCTTACCAAATATGGGAAACTACTGCTTAGTGGGCTACGCAGATCTCTTCACGACGGTAACACTCAAAGCAGAGACCATTGGTTGGCGCTAGGAGACAAGTAGTTTCCTGGCTATGTCGGCCACCGGTATCCACGCCGCCCCTAAGACTTAAGTTTCTGTTTGTAGTCTCTGCAACGTAGCTACTGGCTTCTCAGTGGATTGGTGTATCAAGAGTTGCCAGTAGAGCATGGCAGAGGACTGAACGCATTTGCAGGTCGAACTCCCTCCACGGTTCTCAGGAACCTAGTCAAATTCTCCCCTAAACAGACTTGAAATTAACCCAGGTAAACTCACCATTGTGCTCATGCATTCGCAGCTACCAACCTGATGAGAAGCAACTAAACTTCAATATTATATTTTGCAAATTCTTTTCAGCTGAAAACTGTACACATCAAAGTTATTAGAAGGGAGCAGAGTTCCGTATTCCTTCACTCTACCGGGTGATCCACAATCACACACAGCTTAGGCTCTCTAAATATGTACATAAAGCATGGGGCGGACTACATCCAACGTATTTGTCGTCAGTGGTAAGCGTTCCACTGAATGTATGGTACATGTATCACAGCTTGAGATTTGTGGGTGAGATGGGTTGTTACAGTGGTACGTGAAGTCTTCTTATAGGTTGTCTGTGCTACCCTCTTGAAGACGGTGTGGAATCCTGTTTAAATGCGTCCATGCCCAAAAGACAGCTGATGTCGAAGCTCCTTTTTGGAGGGTAGGCCCGATCTGCATCATCAGAAGAGGAGAGTCGCCTTCGAAAACCGGTTTGATTCGTTTCAGTAGAGTGTGTTTGCTAGCGGTCACCCACTGATAGCTCGGTTTCAGTCCTTTGCGCGGACATTTTATTCTGAGCATGAATGATTACTGAGAAAGCAGTGTTTAAAAAATAAGCAAACGAACGAGTATCAAAAACGTGAAATGATGAAGGACATCTGTTCCGATGAGCCACTTAAGTTGCTTAATAGTGGTATCCGGGGTTGCATTTAATCACAACTAGTAACTTTGCTTTGGCACTTAGCACCAACCCTCGTGGCTAGACATAACGAAGACTGTTGCACACAGCACAGGTCTTGAGTTTGATCCCCGTTTAATCCCAAAATAGAAGGATATCACATGGTGAAACTGTCCTTTGATATTAATGATGTTGTGATCACCCAGATGTAAGCGTATACCCAATCTGATTACACAACATTTTATGGAAGCCATTAATCGTACGGATGCGAAAAGCACGAGATCGGGGCTGCTTCGATCCCCACTTCTCTGGTAGCTATGAAGCAATTTATCTGCAAACAATTAGTTGTCGCATCGTAGTGCAACACCTGATGTTTTCCGGCCTCACCTCAATAACGACAACCTGTATTCCCATGAGCAATTGATCGACAGTATGGAAGTTTTCATCGATAAAAGACTAACGAAAAAATACGGCCTTTCTCATCAAGCAATTTCTGATCCATCCATTCGTGGTAAGTCATTATGTGTTAACGGTTGCCTGTGTCTCTAATTTGATATTTGACGAACATGAAGAGGGTGCTCAAGCTTCATGGTCCAACAGACAAGTGAGACACAGCATGTCTAAAAGATTTCATGGATAAGTGAATGGTGATCTTCCAAAAGCGACAAAAGCAGGATAGTAAAATTTTAAGACCTAATTGCCAGATAATTTGTCACTCACAAAATTTTAAAGTATGTACACACGTGAGTAGTGGATGGGTTAAATATATAGTTATTGATAGTATAGATCAAATGATATCGCGCTGTAGAGGACAGTGGACAACATTCAGACATCAACAGCTGTGATTGAAAAAGGAATACGACAGAAGTAAAGGAGTTGAGCATCCTTAATCCGCAATAAGAGACAGAAAACTGTCGGGGATTGATTATTCCTGAGGACCGCATCATAGCGATGGAAGTTTGAAACAAGACAGCACTCTAAGAACCCAGGCGGATGATTATTGAATTGTAACAAGAGACTTTCAGTAATGTAGCATGATATAACGCAATTCAAGAAGGTGGAAAACACAGTGCTATCATATGACCACTTGGCTGCTCATTACTCTAACGGCTTCCTTGGGGTCGGGCGAAATCGTGCTAGGTAAAGGAATGACGGGCGAGCGTTAGGCTCGTGCAAGTGTTCTATACGAACTTGTGCTTTTCTCTGACCGAGAGAAGACGGATCACCCACCGGATGTTTCCTTCAAGCCGACTATGACAGGGTTTCCGGCAGCTAAAATCCACTCTTTTTCACTCTTCATTTCCAAGACTTCCAAAACTGGGGAAAGTGGAAGGAGTGAGGTGCAGAGAAACCTTTATGTAGCACTTCCAGTATTTCCTGTTCCACTGAAGGTGAATTTCGTGTTCCGTGTTGCACTTCACTCCAATAAAGGTGAGTCACCACGCAATGAACTCGCACCATCAGCACCAGGACATGAGTTTGCACAATGATGCACTGTGTGCTGCGTTCCGGTACCTTGGTGAGTAGTGTATGGGCCATGTGAACAGGTCATAAAACGCAGACATCTGAAGTTAGTTTTGGTGCCTTCATTGTCAATGTTTCAAACGCATACAAAAGGATGAAGAAAAAAGTGAAGGAAGCATAATAGGCATGTGTAACCTTCTTGCAAGCAAAGGAGCTTGAGCATCGTTAATCCGATGTAATTATATGTATAATGCATAATGATTGATTTCACTACCACATTGTTGCGATGGGCAGTGGTGCCAATACTTAGTCTGGGTAGAACCAACGCTACGAGAAAAGAGAACAAGACGGGTACTTGAGAAACGAGCGATCACTCAATTGTCCGACAGGGTGCATGCGTCGCTGTTGATGCTTACTGTAATGTTGATGACGGTGGACGAAACCGTTGGAGCCAGTAGTCTGTGTTAGGCGCTTGTTGCAAGCCAGAGTCACGTAGTTCCGTCGCAGATATGACGTTAACCTTCTGTTTGCCAAGTAACTTATGATTACGTTCATTCTTCTGTCAATCATGGTTCTCACATGACAATGGAACTGCAGCTGGCATGTAAACTAGGAGCTTTAAGATAGAGGTATTTCACCACCGATTCTCGTTGGCTACTTCGACACACCGCTTCAGCCGTTATAGCTTCAAGATGGCGCACCGGCCCATTAGACACAAACGGTGCGGGATTATCTTAGCGAGGTGTTGGGTCACCCGTGGATCGGTCGCGGAGGTCTAAAGGATTAGCCTGCCCGGTCACCAGATCTGAACCCCATACATTTCTTCCTATGAGGTTCTTTGAAAAGAAGAGCTTACAAGACAACGCTTATTTCACTGGAACGACCGAAAGGCAGTATGGTAAACGAACGCAGCACCATCAACACGGAAACTTTGCAAAAAGTTATAGCGTATTGCCTCAGGCGATTTCCGCACTGGAATCTGAACGCCGGCGGGTACGTTGAGCAGCTTCGTCCTTGACAGACATATCACCGTTTTATGCTGTTTATGTTAATATGCGTATTCACTGTTATCACTGATTTCTGGACTAAATTAGTGCGCGGGCGAATGGTGCCAAATGTGCGTCGGGCCAAAATGTATTCAACGAGCAAAGTTGATTCTCCAGCGCTTAGATTGACCACTTCTTTGCAACTTGGTGCACAGTGCCAATAGCTGTTTTTCATGATTATGCCCAATGAATACGGGGAGGATGTGAACGAGATGGTGATGTGAGAATAGACAAGGCGCTTTCATACGTTTTCGTGTTTATCGGCGTACCGAATACGGCGTGGGGTGTGTGCTTCTAAACAATAACATACCGGCCACATAAAGGGGAAAGAAAGGTGGTCCAATGATTTTTCAATAAGAATACAGGCCTTGAAAGCGTGGCTTTTCGATCCTTCTGAATTTGATACTCGGAGTTTATAGCAGTATGTGTCGGAAAATTTACCACAGGGATAACTGGCTTGTGTAGGACAGCATGCGTGAGAACTCACATGTGTGTGCTGTGATCCCCGATTTGTTTATCAGTTTTGCGAGTCAATGAACTTCGCACTTTATGGAATACGTGAAACTCAGTATCCTCGAGGATTAGCTATTGCCTAGAAATGCAGCTTCGCAGTTCCACGCAAATGGAATAACCAGATGAATCAAGACTAGCAATCACTTAAGGGTTAAGAATTCTTTTCGGTAAACTCTCGTCAGACCCAAACGTTTACATAGCGCTTATTGTATGGGGTAAGTGTCAAATCGGGCTGAAATATTGCCTCATCAGTGAATATGTTGGAATGAACGTTTATGTGCAGCAGTGGAGACTGTTTTCGGTCCCGTCACGGTCACTGAAACAAATTGGGCGGCGTAACCCCAATGGTTTTCTGAAATTGCGATCAAGACTGTGACGGGAGAATGGGCTATGCGGCAGCAAGTAGTCATTGGGCGGTATAGCTTTTCAACATGCCTTTCTCAAAACGTTACATTTTATATTTGCAAGGCCCAATTGTAAGGAATGCCTATTTTGCTAACGTGGGTTGTTGGAAGCTAACTTTCAGTCTACCAGAGCGTTGCCAATAACCCTTTTTGTCATTAGCTGGGATAACACTAAACACCTATTGAACCCTCCTTGCTCAGGTCAGTTTAGCCTGTTCAAACACTACCACAATTCTACCGCAGGAACCCGGTAGTGATGCACTGCTGTCTTGGTTTTGCACGCCTGCATTCGTTCCAACCAGCTCGAAACACGGTATGTATCGATCGGTGAACTTGCCCTGCGGCGTGCCGCAGTTGACTTCATCTCAACGATCCGCGCCCATCCAGTACTTTCGTGATGGACGAGACTGGCAAGAATGCCTGTACCTAGATGCATGTAAACGGGCATCACTCCGATCGTTCCCACCCATGTGACCGGGTGAGAGACAGGTTGAGATAGGCTAACATCTACTATTGAACAGTTGGCAATTTAGTACGCTGTCCTCTGACCCGAAGACGTGACATTTGGTCTCCGAGTAACAGCGTAAAAAGGGACAACACTTCTCGGACTAACTTTACTCGGTGGCATCATTGAAATGTTATATGATTACCTTGCAGTCGAGCAGGCAGCATGTTTATCCACTTGGATTGAGCTTATTGGGGCACCTTTTACCTTCGGTATGAATTTTACTCTACCGTAGGTCTTTGCATGACTGGACGCAAATTTGAATTCCAATCTGGGGTGGCCTTATGTCTGACAGTACAGTGCTATGATTGCTATGGCGCGGTTTTACGCACACAGACCACACACCTGCGCGGATTACATTCAGTAGGAGCGCAGTGCGTCCGTACGAAAGCATGTCCCGTGTATAGCGAGTGGGTTTTCTTGCAGCTGAAAGAGCGGAGTTATACACAGGCGATTGCAGGTGTGAGTGCAAGGTACCGTCCCTCGAGCACTTCAGATTCTCGTGTTTGCCGAACGCAGACTCGTGTTATCCTCCATTGAGTTACCAAAATTGCCAAGGCCGTCAGATTGAATGGACTCCATTGTAATCCTTCTGAAGCAATGCCGACCAGGACAAGTATGCAAGGAATTGTGCATGGGATCTGCATCCCATGAAGTACGCTCATCACACACGGATGTGAGAAACTGGGTAAGGTAAATGAACTCTGAGTCTCGGTACTGAAATTCCAGGTTACGCAGTTCGTCCATAGCCTCATCTGGCGTGTACAGTGTCTAGTGGCTAGAGTACTTAGGCCGTAACGATCCGAACTCTGTTGGCTACTCTACGCGTGGGATCCTATCGCTGAAGAGCGCTTCGTCCGTTCTGACTTGAATTCAAAACAACTAGGATGCGTTAGAACATTGGGATGCAACGTATGTTGTGTGGACCCCTCGGAAGCTTTCATCCGTTAACGGTGAATTCAAAATTCTCTTAGGAGAACTGGACCGGTTACATGACATGGAATCTAACAGATGCGTAACCGTAAAAGCCAACCACAACACTGGAAGCGCGCGATCAGACAATGCCAATTAGCATCGAGGAATACTAGGACCAATCGGATGCACACAACGACGGGGAACTGAGCGCGGTCGTGTCACATCTAAACTGTGACCCGCAAGCAAGAACATCAGCTGCAACCGGCCCGTGTGATTAACGAAATGACACATTAGAACTAGCTTCAGTGACTAAGCGCAGCAAAAACATATTTCGCAGTTATGCATGTTTGCATAAACATACCTGGAATTCAAGCGCTCTCGTAACATTTGTTCATGAAAAATAATTTTGTTTGATTCATGCAGATTATCCGACGGTGGTCCATTGGGGATGGCTGAGCAAATATTTTTCTGCTTTTTGGATTAGTACGTGTTGTGTTTCCCCAAAGCTCCAAAAGACCCATACTTCATTTTGCAGAATCCTTAGGCAAACCATAGTTAAGTACCTCGGTGAAATCTTGTTTGTCAGTATACGATGTCACGGTGTTTGTCACATCACCGCGATCAAATAATCGCGGTGGCGTTCTGCTTTACATAAAGTCTTATTTGTGTGGGAGACTAGTGAGCGCCTACCGAAGAGCTGATGGTCTATGTGCGTAGTTATGGTGTTCGATCCACCTCAGACGCTGCGAGATGCACGTAGGCGTGGTATATCGCAGTCCACTGAGCCGCTGCTTGGACTGGTTGCCGCATGTCTGTCAGATGTTCCTACTCATGGGCGATTACAACTTACCACGAATACAGTGGCCTGAGGCTGAACTTCTCCCCGGCCATTGTGAAGTCGAGAGAAAGTTTACGGAGTTGATATTTGAAACCGGGGCCACACAGCACATCAACCAACCGACACGCATAGCTGCGCGCGCGACTCCATCGTGCTTAGACCTGCTTTTGACCAGCTGTGAGCAACGTGTGCATGACATTCAAGTCTTAGAGCCTCTGGGAGCGAGTGACCACTCGATGATCATAGCCAGCTTGGAACTGCCGCTGCCGTATTCTCCTCCGCTGGAGCCAGCCTTCAACTATTGGAAGGCGGACTTTAATGGCCTCACTCGAGCAGCGAGCCAGATGGACTGGTCTTTACCAGAGGATTCGTCTACTGAAACCTGTTGGACTATTATTAAAGAGGGAGTGAAATCGTTGTGCGCCCGATTTGTACCCCTCAAGTATCGGAAAGTTGGGCCAGTCAAAGCACATTGGTTCGACAAGGAGTACAGCAAACTGGCCCGACGACGACGCAGACTATGGAACAAATTCGTGTTATCTGGCTCTGATGAGGACTACAAGGCGTACAAGCTACAGCGAAATCTCTGCAACAACACGAAAATAAAAAAACGTAGAAGCTTCGAAGAGCAGCTTGCAACCGCCGCAAAAACTGCTCCCAAGTGGATCTTCGCATACGTGAAGCGGCGCCTGAGGCCTGCAGGCAATGTTCCAGTGTTAGAAGGCTCAGATGCACAGCCCCTAACCTCGAGCATAGATCGTGCGTCCGCATTGGCGGCACACTTCGCCTCCGTATTTGCAAGTGACCAGGTGTCTGTAACGAGTTCAACGAGTACCGCTCCCGCTGAACTAGAC